TTAAACAGGTCAACTCAATTGTTAAAGTTATATAATAAAGAATATGATCATTTTAATGACAAAAATCTTATTGTGAAATAGTGCACTCTATACTGAGATGAATGAGGAAAAAAAAGTCAAACTCCTTTCAAAACTATATTCAAAGCATCAGAAAAATTTTTCTTCTTTTTACAAAGTTATGTATAAGCCATAGGGGCCACCAGATACTGAAATATGAAGACTCTATAACCAAAGTTCAAAACTGATTTTAGAGAATTGTGTGAAACAGGACAGGAGAGTTTGTATTTAACACCCTATAGAACTTCACAGTAAAGCTGGAATTTATAGACTAATGGCTTAACAGGAGTATCGCCAAAAAGGCCTTTCCTTCCTCAAAATCATCTCCTAATATTCATATACCATTGACAAATTGTAACAGCAGACTTAGACGTTGTTTTTTAAGATGGGGCTTAATAAGGTGCATGGGTATGTTGAAATTCTGTATTATGAGCATGTAAAGTATTACCAGGGTTTAAAGAAATAAAAAAAAAAAAGAATGTAAGTATTCTCAGTCCAACGTGCTTTGCATCATCAACAAAACAACAAGTCAAAGTATTTTGCAGTGATCAGATACCAACCTCCCATTAACAAGTTAGGTATTTCAAATACTGCTATAAAACCCATTCAGCAAAATTAAACCAATTCTTGTGATTTCAGTACAAACTTGCAAGTTGTCACACGTTATTGATGATGATCAGGGCAGGCATGGAGTTCTGCTGACTTGTTTCAAACACTGTAACTTGGTCTGATAACTTGGCAAATACCCTAGGAGTTCCAAGGTTATAAACACCTGTATGAACAAAGCATGCTTTCAGTTGCAAACTCTGAATCTCTTGACTTTTCAGCTGAAGTTTATATTGCGTTTGTCCAAGCCATGTGAATGATCCATGGATTTCCAATGCTTCTGGACTAAGGAAAGAGGAAAATGGTTAAGTTGCAGAATTTTTTTCTTTATAATTTTTTTTCCAAAGTCCCATTAACATTTCCCTTTCATCTAGCAATCTATTTCTAGGAATTATTTATAAAACCAATTGTTTAATAACAACATTACTACTATTCCCATAACAGCTAACATTTATTAACAGTTACTATTTCCTAGGCACAATGCTAAGAATGGATTATCTCATTTAATGCCCACTAACAACAGTTAGTAAATGATGGGGAACCTGATTTCAAACCTGAGCTTTTAACCCCTTGGTCATCCATATATAAAAATAAATGTGTGTACAAAAATGCTTATAATATTGAAATTGTTTATAATATTGAAAAATGGAAAACCACCCAGTATATACCCTCCAATAAGGCATTAGTTAGTGTATGATACACATAATCATATATATAATGTGGTTGAATTTCAGAGAGCTGTCCCATATCCTGTTTGGGCTACTTTACAATAATACTCACTAGATGCTTTATACTATTTTAAAATTTCTGAATTCCAAAAGGCATCTGACTATCAGATGTGGGAGTACGAACCTGGATTTCTTCTTTTTGTTAAGTATTATTCTATAATCTGGAAAAAACCTTTTAATATTTAATAC